AGATCTTCTTTAAATGTCTGATAGAATTCTGCTGTAAATTCATCTGGTACTGGGCTTTTTTTAATTGGGAGGTTTTATGGTACTGTTTCAATTTCTTTTTGTGTTATGGGTCTGTTTAAGCTGTTATTCTCTTCTTGGTTAAGTTTTGGTCATTCCTATGCCTTTAGATATCCATCCATTTCTTTTAGGTTTTCAAATTTAGTAGCATATAGGTTTTTGAAGTATTCCCTTATAATGTTCTGTATCTTTCTGGTGTCTGTTGTGATGTTTCCCCTTTCATCTCTTATTTTGTTGATTTGGAGTTACTCTTTCTTTGTTTTGGTTAACTGGGGTAGTGGTTTGTTAATCTTGTTTATCTTTTCAAAGAACTAGCTCTTGGATTCATTGATTCTTTATATTGTTTTCTTTGTTTCGATTTCATTAATTTCTGCCCTGATTTTTGTTATTTCTTCTTGTCTGCTGGGTTTGGGTTTCGTTTGTTGTTGCTTTTCAAGTGTCTTGAGTTGCAATGTCAAGTCATTTATTTTTGTTCTGTCCAATCTTTTGATATAGGCACTTAGAGCTATAAAGTTCCCTCTAAGGACCGCTTTCAGCATGTCCCAGAGGTTTTGTTGTGTTGTATTGTCCTTTTCATTTAATTCCAGGAATACTTTTATTTCTTTCTTAATTTCTCTTTTGACCCATTCATCATTTAGGAGTGTGTTGTTTAATCTCCATGTGTTCATGTGTTGATTAGGGCTTCTTCCATTGTTGATTGTAAGCTTTATTGCATTGTGGTCTGATAGAATGTATGGAATTATTTCAGTCTTTTTGTATTTGTTGAGGTTTGTTTTTGTGCCCCAGTATTTGGTCAATTTTGGAGAAGATTCCATGGGGCGCTGAGTAGAAAGTATGTCCTTTGGTGCTTGGGTGGAATACTCGATAGATGTCTGTTAAGTCCATTTGATGTATGGTATTGTTTAATTCAGATGTCTTTTAAATCTCGGCCTTGTTGACTTATCTATGGAGACAGTGGGGTATTGAAGTCCCCTACTATTACTGAGTTGGGATTAATCTGGGTCTTAAAGTCCTGTAGTATTTTTTTTATGAAGTTGGGTGCACCAGAATTTGGTGAATATATGTTCATGATTGTAATATCTTCTTGATTTATTGTTCCTTTGATCAGAATGAAGTAGCCCTCTTTATCTCTTCTGATTAGTTTTAGTTTAAAGTCTATTTTGTCAGATATTAGAATTGCTACGCTGCTTTTATCTTAGTACCATTTGCTTGGTGTATTTTTTTCCATCCTTTCACTTTAAGATAGTGTCTGTCCTTGAAAGTTTCCTTGAGATGAGTTTCTTGCAGACAACTAAAGATGGCTTTTGTTTCTTAACCCATTCACCTAGTCTGTGTCTTTTGACTGGGGAGTTCAGTCTGTTAATATTTAAAGTTATTAATGAAAGATGAGTATTAAATCCTGTCATTTTTATTTCTATTTACATTCGTGATATCGGTGTACTTTTCCACAGTTATACCTTCATTGGATTTCTTACCGCAATCCCTTTCTTCAGCTCTTTGTATTACTTCCAGAACTCTCTGAAGGCCTGGTTCTGTGGACCTGAATTCCTTCAGCCTATTTATGTCATGGAAGATTTTTCTTTCCCCTTCGACTATAATAGACATTTTGGCTGGGTATAGAAGTCTGGGTTGGCATCTGTGGTCATTTAAAACTGGGAATACTTTGGTCCAGGCTCTTCTGGCTTTCATAGTTTGCACTGAAAAGTCAGCTGTAATCCTAATGGGTTTTCCTTTATATGTGACTTGTTGTTTCTCTTTTGCAGCTTTCAGTATTGTCTCTTTGTTCTGTATGCTTAGTGTTTTTACTATGATGTGCCGTGGAGAGTTTCTTTTCTGGTCCTGTCTGTTTGGTGTTCTATGTACTCTTCTTGTATGGGTTTGTCTTTCTTTAATTTTGGAAAATTTTCTTCCACGATTCTGTTGAAGATCTGGTCCATGCTATTATCTTGGGATCCTTCTCCTTCCTGTATGCCTATGATTTGTAAATTTGGTCTTTTTATGGTGTCACACAATTCCTACATATTCCATTCTTGTGCTTTCTTAAATTTTTCATAATCTTCGCTCGAGTGGTCTTAGTTTGTCCACTTTATCTTCCAGTCCTGATATTCTGTTTTCCATTTCATTCATCCTATTGGTGAGGCTTTCTCCTGTCGTTTCTAATTGGCTTATTGAGTGTTTCACTTCCTTCTTCATTTCAGTCTGAGTAGTCTTCAATATTTCTACCTCTTTTCTGAATTCATTCAGAAGTTTATCCCTCTTCCTTCAGTTCTTGATTTCTTTGTGTGTTCATTAAATTCACTGAATTCTTTTATTATGTTTATAATTGTTCTTTTGAGTATCATGTCCTGCATTATCTCTAGGGGGTTCTCATTGGCCTCCTCTAGAGGACTGTTAGTATTTGGTGGGGATATGTTATTTTGTTTTTTC